TAAGCCAAAGCACCTTCCTATCCTGTTTTCAAGATGGTGGCAGGGTACTTCTTTTGTCTTATCCAGTGGGGTTCTGCCTCTGGGTTCCCTCTGTAGCTATTGCTGCCAGTGTCTAGTTAGGCACTACAGTGGTGAGGCAGAGCCTAGAGCTGGAAGTCTCTCCAGCTGTAGTGGTGAGGCAGAGCCTGGAGCTGGTAGTCTCTCCCAGCAGCTTCTTGGCTTATAAAAAAATGGCATTTGGCTTCTGTGACCTGGGAAGCACTAGGGACCCAGCAGAGCAGCTGTGACACCAGTTGCTTCACCAGGAGACAGCCCTGGCCACTTGTTCCTGCGTCCCCACTCGGTCAGTCTCTCCAAGCAGCTTCTTTACAGGAAGAGCTTTGTTGATTTAAAAAAAAGAAAAAAAAAATGGGACTTGGCCTCTGCATCCTGGGAATCACTAGAGTACAAGCTAAGCAGCTATGGCACCAGCTGCTTCTTCAGGAGATCCCTGGATACTTGCTCCCAAGCTCTCACTCTGTCAGCTACTCACACACCCACTTATAGACACGTATGCAACATTTTCCGTATGTTCACTCACAGACTGGCACTCGCATAATCTGACTGGCTCAGCCACCATCTTCCTACAGGACCTTTATTTCTTTCTGACTTTCAGCCTTCTTAGCTGAAAGGAACAGAACCTTTCAGATATGCTAATATAACTTTATCTGCTTTAAATTCTATGACCACTTGTTGACTGTGGGAAGCATGTTTTAACTTTTGTGAGTGACAGTAGAGTAAAATGTTTGTGACTTTGTGTCTTTGAGGTCTTTAAACCTCTCTCAGCCCCCAGGAAAGCCTTCCCTCTCCACCAAATGCTGATTATGAAATATATTACCTTCTCAGCTTCACATCCCACCCAGTAGTACACACTGTCATGTTACATTACTATCTGATAATTATTTAAGTTCGTGTCATCTTGCCTAAATTACAAACTCTTCAAAGACATGTGTTCATAGAGATATGAATTCCCTTCTTATTACTGTTTTCCTGGCGTCATAGAGGTTTTGGTAAGATATTTCTTCATTTTCATTTGTTTCCAGGAGTATTTTAATTTCTGTTTTGATTTCTGTGTTGACCCAGGAGTTGTTAGCATCATGCTGTTTAGTGGCCATGTCTTTGCAGGTTTGGGGGAAGTTTTGCTGGTGTTGATGTTTATTTTTGTTCCACTGTGATCTAAGAAAGTACTTGACAGTATTTAGATCTTATGAAATTGTTTATGCCTGATTTATGGTTGAGGATGTGATTGATCTCGGAGTATTTTCCATGTGGTGATGAGTAGAATGTATATTCCATGGTTTTTGGGGTGGAGTGTTTTGTAGGTATCTATTAAGTCCATTTGGTCAAGTGTCAAGCTGAGGTTTCAGATCTCCTTGTTGATTATTTTCCCTTAATGATCTATCTAGGTTTGTTAGAGGGTATTAAAGTCCCAAGCTATGATAGTTTTAGTTTACTTAGTAGCTGTTTTATAAAATCTGGTGCTCCTATTTTGGGTGCATATATGTTTAGGATGGATATTTCTTGATGAGGGATTGAACTTTTTATCATTATGTAATGTCCTTCTGTATCTTTTAAAATTTTTGATAGCTTAAAGGTTTTTTTGTCTGATATTAAGATTGCACTCTTGTTGTCTTTTGGGTTCCATTTCCTGAAAAATTGTTTTCCATTCTCTAGTTTCAAGTCTGTGAGAGTCCTTTGTAGTGAGCTGTGTTTCCTGGAGGCAGCATTTTTTTTTTATTAATCAGTATTTTTTATTATGGTTTTGTGGGGTACAGTTAAGGGTTAGGTGTACAATTACGTTTCATTCAAGCACCCTGTTGATAAGAGGTGTTTTCCCATCCCCCGACAGATATTTGTTACTGTTAATCCCATG